CAGAGTTGCCCATAATACCTTATTTAAGATAACATTGGTTGTGTATAAATATTGTTGCATGGTGTTGCAACTTTGTAGAGTCATCCATTTTGATACCGTCGGTGGACGAGTGGGTAACACCCTCGATTCCCGACAGTCATGAACCGGGATTGAATCCCACGTTAACGTTTTGTTTAATATATGAATAACCTTCACATATATTATTCGCTATTTCAATTATCGTAAACTAGGTTGCTCTTGTTGAGCGGTACCTAATAAAGTGATTTTGGAACCGGTTAAACCCATTTATCATAATCAAATAAAATATAATACTCACTATGAATTCCTTTTTTAATATCATAATCATTGACCTTATTAGAAAAAAAACAATTTTTCAAACATATATAGAATGTGACTTTTGACTCATATATATATATAGAATACGTTAAAAAATAAGTTACAAAATCACTCAAACGTTGAACCAATTTTCTTCAAGTAGGAGTCAGAAATATCAACGACCAATATATATATATATATATATATGGTAATTTAAACCAACAACCCCATACTGTCTATATAACTTGTAATAAGATTGCCATGTTGTATATAGAAACACATCTATAAATAATTATGCGCATGATTAATCTGTGTCATTGCATCACCTATGTAACGTTATTTGTACAAAGTGGATAAATAAATAAAATCTGTAATAGATTTAAAAGTTGAGCTAAAGCAGAGATCGAGCATAGTATTGCCAAAACAACAGAGTCTAAATATGGAAGTCATAAATCAGGTAGATTCACAGTTCCCACGACAGGCCACCCACACTGTCACATGTGGTGGAATGCAGAGACCCCTCTCACACCTGGACAGGTAAAGGCGCCCTTTCTCAAACGCCCCTGTCACATAAGGTCCTCCCCCCCGTCTTTAACATAAATACATCACCTGACAGTGGCTTGACAGTTCAGTTCAGTTGAGTTTAGTTCACCCTTAGTGCAAGCCGCGTCGGTCGTATGTTATGGCGATCTCATCCAACATGTAGTTAGGAAGAACTCGTCTATCTCCATCTTGCGCTTCTAGCTCAGCTTTTATCTGTTAACGGAACTTTCTTAGTGCAACTGTGTCTTCGTTTTTTGTGTATGGATATCCCCAAGCTTTTCCCACTCTGCCTCGACCACGACTGCCTGTATTTGTGAGAACTTTTAAAGGTCTTCCAAGGTGCAGAGAGGTACTGGAAAACTCTACATCCTGACTGTTCCTCTTGGTCAACACAGCACAACAAGAGCTACCAGGACTTCAACATTATTACATGAGTCGACAGCATCACTTCATTACATATATATATATATATATATACGGTATATAAGGAACTTTGATTCCCTCCTTCTTTGTGTCATACACCGAGCGGGTTTCTATATTCAAGGTAAATAATAAATAAATTACCTTTTTAAGTTATTATGTTTAATTATTGACTTCCTCCTAGTTGGGGATCTTCAGTCTTTGCATCCGTGACTCCTTTCCAAAATAAACAATCAAGATATAAACAATAACAAGCACAGATATATTTATAACCCAGGGAACACAGAACACCAACTACCCGGGGAGTCCAGCTCACCAGTATGGACTTGTGTTGAGCGTTTTTACTCGCGTCCTGTTTTGAACAATAACAATGTTACGAAAGGAATGGTACTTTATTTTGAATAAATGGAGAGGTTCACAAACTTGATATGACAATATTTACTCTATTGTAAAGATAGAGGCTGCCTGGCCGGTGGCATTCATTTTTTCTTGAATTTAAAGATACTTCGGCCAGTAAATCTTTTTATTATCTCGACCTTTCGACAAAAAGCTTTTGTTCTCGTCAGGAGCGAACAAAAATTAAAACATTTGGCAAGGCGTTAAAAATTATTCTATCTCTATTTATAATATAATTTTTAAACGCCAAATGTTTTAATTTTTGTTTGCTCCTGACGAGGACAAAAGATTTTTGTCGAAACGTCGAGATCATAAAAAGATTTACTGGCCGAAATATCTTTATTTTCAAGAAATATTCACTCTAGATGGAAACCGGGGAGAAGCCGGGTTATTCGACTAATCTATAAATAGTAACAAAAAAAGAGTTCAATGCGGGATTCGATCCCATGCCACTTGGTTGTTAGCGACGTGTTCCATCATAAATTCAACTCCGCCAGGATCAAGATGACTCCACGGTATCGAAACACCTAGTAACCTTTTTATAATTTGTGAGCATTTATTATCCTAAAAGACCCCTCTTCACATGTGTTTGAGTGGGTTGACTTTGCTCTCATTGTTTGAATGTTGTGAAAACATATTGTGAGATAACAGAAGTGTGTCCAGACAGTGAGTGAATGGCCTGACTACAAGCTCTGACTGGATGCCTCTTCTGGGCCTTGGTGGGAGCCGCAGATAGTCAACTCTATTGGAATACTTTATATAACTCTGCCTTTGCCGGTCCTAAGCCCAGATGAAAAAGGAGGAGGGGGAGCAGTAACAAGCTCACTAAAAAACCTGGGCTCAGCTGGCCCGGCTAATAGTACCCTGTAAGGGCTCCAGGATACAGGATAAGTCTGTACTCCATGTTAGGAGCAGCTATACATAGTGTCTGTTCCTCATGTCAGAAGCGGCCATTTCATATTGAAGCTAAGTCATTGGCCTACTACTGAGTAGTGTTCACAGTCTTAATGACAAAAGCAGACACATTCTACTTATCTCAGTCATTATGGATGTCAAACTTCTTTGATGAGCTCTACTCATCCCCAGCAGACACCATCAACAAGGTCTACAGGTTTGATACCCTGATATGATTGTTAAGTGGAGATAAGAAATAAGGAGACTCATCCCCAGCAGACACCATCAACAAGGTCTACAGGTTTGATACCCTGATATGATTGTTGAGTGAAGATAAGAAAGAAGAAGTAGAAAACTTGGGGGGTAGAAAAGCGACATCAAAGAAAACACTTCGATTATTTTGTAGGAATGGATTGTCCAATAATGGACTTCAGGTGTCCACTGGTCCAGAAATTCCTTTCCTCAAGTGCCCAGTCCAACGTCCTAATTACTGGTCCTATTCTGGATCCTTCAAATAAAACTTGGGTCCGCACATTTACTTGTATTCAATGTGGACTCTCACTGGTAGGATTGTTCATACTGGTTCGTTTTCACATCAAATTTGATAAATTGATTGTTTATATTACATTTATAATTCTGAAAAAAAATCGTAAAAATATGAAATTGTACTGGGATAAGGTGAACAAATTAAGAAAAAGGCATCTCCTTATCGTGAAACTGA